TAAAGGCATGCAGTGTTTCAGCAGTTTTGCAGTTTTCTGTGAGTTTGTTCCAGAATGTTAGCAAGTGAATGGCGGGTCACCATGGCAACTGCATGACTTTTTATCATTTTTAGGGGAAGAAATATTTTCCCACATTCTTTGGGAGCTTGGTGTCCCTAATCGCACATCAATCGTACAATCTGAACAGGATGTGGGTTTGTTGCCTCTGGGCAACACTGTGCTGTAAGGAGTATAAAACACCAAGGTTTTCTACAGTGATTATGAGAAGTGTAATACAAATCAAACAAAAAAGTGACTAACGACTCTTAAAGAATAATATTGTCTGAACAAATATTTGTGCACAAAGTCGCCCTGAGGCAGCAAGCAAAAACACAGAGTTTTAGCATATAAATGATGACAAAAAAAATCTTAAAATTATCTACAATGTTTCTTTACCTGATCACAGACATAAAGATAATTTTTATTGAGAGTTGCCCAGAATTTAGACATGAAGAAAAGCGATCTTCAACTTACAAGTAAGGCGTGGCATGCAACTCTGCTTCATAAAAGGACTGCTCCTCTTCCAAGTCAAAGGTCACATAAACTTTAAAACCTCTTTCATTTGGACAAAATAACAACAACCTCTCCTTTTCACGTCTCCTCTTGGCTGCTCCTGAACTTACAAAATATGAAACGGCTTCAGAGATGAACCTCCAAGCTAAATAAAGCCAAACGACAGCTTGTGAGTTGTTGATGGTTTGAATATTATTTTACAACTTAAAATGACATCCATACTTCAAGCTTCTCCACATTATCCCTGACCTGTGTGCAAAGTTTGCTGAATTTACAATTGAATTCAAACGCTTTCACATAACAGCTGGATTTATACTGAGATCTGACGTTTCTGAAGGCAATTTTATAAAATTCTGATGAATTACATGCAAGATATTGGTTGTAATGCGACAAAATGTGAAAAAGCACTGTAGATGTCAAAGTGATCGTAAACAGAAGAGCAAAGCATGACAAATTAGATTTATAAGAAGTGCTCGACTGTTTGCAAGTGAATAATGACTCACAATCCAAATGGCTTGCAGACTGAATACCAAATAAACTCGTAATTATCTCTCAAAACCACATCCGTATTTGCTCACTGAGGTGCTCGTGAACATAAATCTAAGAAGTGCATCTAGTCAAACCACTGAAATCAAACAGTGTGTTTAAGTAGACGACTCTGGCGCTTGAGTTTGCATATTTTAGGTGTGCGACGTTGGCCGACTTAACACTTGTTCAATTACCTTCGCCTCGTGTTGCTGCACAACATTTTTACCACAGACACACACTTGTTTATTGGCTTGTTTCCTTCTCTTTATTCATCCAGGCCAAGTACCCCGCTGCCAAGGCGGCTTTTTCCGCTGACCAGAAGCAAAAACATACATTGCTGAAAACCGACGGAAGTCCTGGATGACTGAATCTCCAGTCATCCACTCAGAAGAGTAGAGCACATTTCCCATCAGATGCAGGACATTTCCCAACCTTCAGACAAATATTTTAAAAAAAGCAAATAGGGAAATAAAGTGATTTATCCAATGAGAAGATCTGAGAAAACAAAAAGGACACTGAGTAATGGTGGGTGAAAATAGATGAGGTGGAGGTAGAAGAAAGGGATGGGGTATTTATTTAATAAGCACAGGTCAAATCTGACTCTGCGTGCTCGGCTTTCGCTGTCACAGCGTGCCTTTCACCATTTGTTTTCCATAAACAGCACATGGAAACGTTTATCTGGCTTAAAGCAGATCAGCGCACGCTGTCTCAGGCCTTTAACATTTGCTACTTGTTTTCCAGATCTGTCCTAATAAAGTTTTCTGAAAAATATAGGCAGCGTTTATGAAAAGTATTAATAAAATTAGATATTTCAATAGAGAACAGCAGGCCTGCTGAATTCAGGCACTGATCAAGCTGTCTTAGATTGATTTAAACAAACGTGAAAGAGAGAAGGAAGGGGGGAAAAATATGATAACAGTATCTTCAAGTTGTTCCCTGTGGCTCAGCAAGACTTAGGTGTCTCGAAAAGCCCTTTTTTTTCCAAACCTTGAGTGTTTTTATTCTGCGACAACATCTGCAGTCTTGGGAAAGGGAATAGAAATCCCATCTGCCCGCTTATGAGGAGTGAAGTCATAATGGAGCATAAGCTTGAAGTCTTCAGACCTCTTGTTTAATGGGAAAAAACTGCTAAAACCATCAACAAAAACTCTCACAAGTCCCACAGAACCCTGGTTCTCAAAGTGGGGTTCACCTGCCGCTGGTGGTACTTGTCCTGACTTTAGTGAATTATTTTTTTTTATTTTTGCATTAATTGTAAGGTAAATGCAAACATAAGGTAGTGGATGAAAATGAACTAAGAAGTCAATGCTGCTGGTTAAAGGCGAACAGGCCCGCTTCTCCAAAATAGGACCCCGACTCATTTTTAACACAAATTGCAATTTACTGTCACAATATATCACAATGCTGATGACCGTTTTAAAAATTCCAAGAAAATAACAAGCAGTAAAATACCCACTTAAAACCCCGGTGTTCGTTGGCTAGCTCTATTTACTTAGGTGGTGCTTGTTATAGAATATGTGAGAATCCCAGTTATGGCTCTGAGGGCTGCAAAGCAAGATTGCGTGCTTGGAAAAGGTCATTTCAGTGTGCATTAACACCTGAGTGTGAGTGTAGGAATGGTAATAAATTCATCCTCGTTTTGGCCTCCGAGCACAGCATGTGTATTTGTCTGCATTTGTCAGGCTCTTGCGAGCATATGGTGAAGGGATTCAGGTTTTTCTCAAGCACACAAACTGAGCTGTCCATCCATTTCCAGGTAGACAGCTATACGCCTGCCAAGCAATCTACATCATGAAAAAAAAGGAGGTACCTGCCCCCGTTCAGGTCCAACATACACATTCCAGGCATTCAGGGTGCACTGATATGTTCGTAATGTTTTGAGAGCTTGCCTAATGACACAAAGAGTTTATTGCACAGTGCCGGGCCTCTTGGTGCTTCCACTTTTCAGAGGTGATCACTTTAAATAATCAACAGGGCAGACAGAGGCAATAATCAGACCCTCTGTCCCTAATACATCTTGCAAAGATCAAAGGTGGCATGATGTCATTCGCTCTCTGATCCTGAGCCAAATCAAAGCCAGAGTCTGTATTGGCATTGACCACTCTGCTCCGTCATAGTGGATCGTATTTCCATATTCCTCATCAAATCAAATACAATAAAAAAAAAGGGCTTGTTTATTTATGTTTTCTGGCAGCTCCGGGCGTTCCTCTTGCAAATAACGGAATGTGTTTTTGCAACAATACCTAGCTTTGGGCAAAAACAGCCAGTTTTATCCTCACACTCCGGAGCGACGAGGGTCTCAGGAAAGGAACATAATGTAAACAGCAACCTCTGGTGGCTGTTGGAGGAAGTCTACATCAGCTCCATGCTCCAGCAACACGAAGGCATGGCTTTACGTAACAGCAGCTATAAAATAAGTTGTGTAGAGCCTTGAGGTTTCCAGCAGCTATTAGCTGACAGAGTTTTTTCCAAGAGGAAATCCCTATCTGACAATCTCATCCTCGTAAGTGCTTTCAGCCGTCTCATGAGTTTGGTACAAGTGTTGCTCTGTTACAATGAAGAACAATAGGAAAAACATGTCTTAATGTTTTTATGGAAGCCATACCAGATTTTCTTTCCCTCTTTCTTTAAATGTGAAGGGAGAAATGATTTGTGTATGTGTGAGCACATTGGCAGTTGAAAAGCCATCTGTGTTTCTTGGGTTATTGACGAGGTGCGTGTTGGGACAAACTGGGGGGTTCAGCTCGTTACTTCTGGGTGATGTAAAACCATTCATAGGTGTGAAAACCACAAGTGAGCACTTGCAAGCTTTACTGGACACGCACACTCAAGACTCATTCAATGCACTGTGCACAAACACAGGCCTGGTAACAAATCCAGGACTGTTCGACTTCGCAAAGCACCTATGCTTTGGTGCGTCATAGAAATTACCTCAAGTAGAAACATGAGGCTTAAACCTTTTCATAGTTCATCAAAGTATATTCTCAATATTCAGGCCCTGAACTGTCATGTCCCTTCTCCTTTGCTAACTCTTTCTCTAGCCGGTTAAAGTCTGTTTCAGTTCTAGTAAGTTGGGCATCTGTTCTTCTCTGTGGGCATGAATATGAGGTAAGAACGCGAGCAGGAATTTGCGAACGTGGTTGACACTCTTATCACGTCATTTTAAACATGTTCCTTTGGACAACCAGTTTCTCCAAGATCTCTCATTATATTTCTGTTCATTACATGGTGCTGTATGCGTTCTTTCACAAGTAACACCTTCACTTGTCCAGTGTCGTAAATCCACAGCCCAATCAACACACAAATTTCAATACTCAGATTGGTCTGGCTTGTATCACCTTTGAGAAGGTTCCAAACAGCAGGAAGGAACCGCACTGAATTTGCAAATGGATAAGTACTTGTCGGGCTGACTGGGAAGAACCGGTTAAAGCCACGACTGTGAAGGCGGGCCTTTAGAAGACCGTGGTAACTCTGGAGCAGCTGCAGATATTTGGATGATTGTATTCTGGTCAGAAGACACCAAAGCCCTTCAGTGGACATGCTAAATTCTACGTGTTTTGGAAACCTAAGATTGCACATCACACTTAAGACATAGCCCACCATGAAATGTGGTGACTGCATCATGCTGCAGGAATGTTTTCCCCTTTGTGGGGACATTAAGCCTAGTCAGAGTGGATGAGAAATGGGTGGAGAGAAATACAGGGAAATCCTAGTATTAAAGACCTTTAAAGCTCCATAAGACTGGAGTAGAAGGACGCCTTTCAGCAAAGCAACACTAAATATACAGCCTAGTTAAATTTTAATGGCTTAAATCAAAGCATACAAATCTGTTGGAACAGCCTATTCATATAATCCAGTCCCAAATTAAACTGTGGTAAAAATGTTCTGAAATCTCCCAGTGAGAAAATGATCACATAACATACACTGATTAATGTCGATTTAATTGAGAAAAAATGATAGACATAAATTAAGAAACATGCCACGCAACTCAAAAAAAAAATACACCTAAAGAAAATAAAAGTGTCTTTGTTTTTCTGTCACTCCTCTCCGGCTGGGAGGTTTTCTTCAATCCTCTTGATGAACTTCATGCGGATTTCTGTAACGTTGTCCCCTCTGAGGCTGTCCTGGGCAAACTTCACATCCACTGCCATCTGGACCTAAATCAGATTCAGAATATCATATGCCTAGGTCTAAACGAGACTCAAGACACTTCAAGAAAAAACACTACTTTCAACAGACAAGTTTTAAATAACAAACTAAAAGTCTTAAGTGTTTTATAAAGCTTCAAAATACTTTAAATGAGTCTGTCTAAGAAAGAAATCTGCAGATTATATACATGCAAGACAGAAAAAAAATTATTTATTTTGCATATAAATGATTCATTTACAATACACTTGTAATATATATTTTTAATGATTTATTTTGCATATAATTTATTTTGCTGTATGTGTACAGCTGCATTCCTCAAGTCAAAAGACTACTAAACTGCCATTAGTTTAATCTTTTACTAGATATATTTACATTAATACTTTTATTATTTATTTATTTATTATTATTGGAGCCTTGCAATGAAATTTCTTTCAATTTGTACATTTTTAAACATACAATTGAATGACAATGAACTCTGTCTTTGTGACTTTATTAACTCATTAGGATTTTCAAGGACACTCTTGAACTTCCAGCTGCACATGCGTCAAATTCGGGATCTTAAACCATGGCAGCCATGTTATTTTATGAAATCTGACCAAGTCTTTCAAAATGGGGGAAACGAAGCAGTTGAATTTACCATCTCCAGGGCTCCTCTGAGGACACCACACAGTAGATTGGAGTAAATGAGCGTGCTGTGGTTATCTGGCAGCTCCACAAAGTCAGCCAGCGGGTTGTTCTCCAGAATGAGAGAAAATTCATCTCCTCCTGGACTCCAGTTGGTCACACTGGGGGTAATTCCCAGGTACGTCTTAAATGCAACCTAACGGACCACAACAATATTGAAGAGAAGGGTGAGGGGGGGGAAAGGGAAACAAATCAGGGTCTGGATAGGAAAGAAAATCTTTTATTTGTTGCACATTTATTCAGAAATTTTAGCTGGACATATTTTGCCTTTAGTTTCTTTCAACGTCAAACGTTGTTCAACAAACCCATTTAACTATTGGTGCTTTTTTAAAAGCATAATAAAGCATTCAATAGATCAGACATGAGGTCGATGTAATACTAACTAGTTACATTTACAAGAGTAATATTTTTGTCGAAGAACTATTTTTAGGGGAAGTTCTACTAAAGTGTACTTTTTACTTTTACTTGAATAATGTTATTTCAAAGCATGGCGACTATTACTTCAGCAAAATTTCTGAATTTTGCTCAAAAATGTTACTGCAAGTACCTGACTGAATAAATCACTTCTATGATATTTGAGGGGCCAAGTGATATCCCAAGGCAAGGCAATCATTAATTGTCGAGTCCAAACTACTGTTTTCTGAATAAGCGTTGTTCCATCTGTGCACTGAATCTCTTCAAGCACAAAATAATATCTGAACCAGCTGAAGCCTAAAAGCTGCTCTTCTGTTTTCTTGTCCGGGAAGTCATCAAGAAAATCGGGTTCCAGTCCAAAAAAGCCACAACGTGTCACCAAAGAAGAAAAGCAGGAGGAATGCAAATCAAATTAGGAGCACAGTGACTTTATTAACTCATAAGGACTTTCAAGAACATTTGAATACATTTATAAACTTCCCACGGCACATGCACCAAATTTATGTGCAGCCTACTAAACCTTAGCAGATTTAAATACAGCATTTTGGGTCAAAAAAGGCCATAACCACAGCAGGTGATCTGAGTTTAGCATTTAGAATCAATGCCAATAACTTTATCCTGTAAACTTTACAATTTTATCCTCCACTTGGCCTAAAGCATATGATCTCCCATCTGTACTGTTGCTCTTTCACCCATCATGTGTTGGGCTATTTTGATCTCTTTAATCTGAATTTTTAAGACCTCCTCCCACCCCCAATCTTGGGAGACGTCTGCAATCACACTCCAATTGATCTGGAGCCTTCCACTTACCTTAGCGATAATGTCGGCTGTTTCTCGGAAATCCTGACACCTGCCGATGCTGGAACGCGCCAAGAAGTCCTCAATCAGACGCACTCCGATGTTGTATCCCCTGTAAGGGACAGGGAGCCAGACAGAAAGGCAACGGATATCAATGTTCGCATCCATAGTAGGAGAGAGGTGTAAAAGGCAGAAATTATACAAAATTATACCCTTCAAGACATTTTTGCTTCACACACTTGAAGCCTTGAACTTGCTGCCAATTGTGACTTAAGTCGAGAAAACTTATCCTGACTGCAGTTGGAAGCCAATTAATGTGTCCCTATCCTAACATAGCCCATCTCTGACCAGTTGGGTGGAAAACTTGAGAGCAGAAAGAGAACATTTACTACCTTCTTTGGGCAGCTGAGACATGTCTAATCCTGCTCTAAGCTCAGGGTTGCCATACAACCGGGGAAACAAAGCACACTCAGTCCAAAGATTTGCCGGCTTGAAGGGATGTTTTGAATTTTTGGGGGCTACAAATCCACGGTTTTGTCCAAACTATTTTGCTGCAGGATTACTGTGTCCAGCTTGGCCGTCAAGAGATGTTTGGTCTGTCTTTAAAACTAGTCTCAACATTAGCTGCATCTAAAGCTTTTTTCCCTAAAAAAAAAACTGCTAACAACACATGGATGTGTGTGAGAAATTAAATCTTAACATAGGCCACAGTATTACTGATTGTACAGCAGGAGAATGGCCAAGCCACACTTAAGCTTTTGGGACTGGCAACCAATAGCACACAAAGTTCAGACAGTTTCTTTTTCACGTATTCAAAGATACATTTTCACATGACAGACAATGTAGTTTATATCACAGAAAGCGTTGTTATGGAATAACAAAATTAATATTGTAAAGTGCTAATCTTAGTGTTATACTATTAAATACCTGAAAGGCAATGTATTGCAGTGTTCACTAGAACACACAGATTAACTTAATAATGAATATGCATAATTTGGTAGTCGAGCATCCTGTCCATAGGTGACATTTGAGCACAAAGTATGTTCACAATCTTTCCCAAAGACACTCAAATATACAGTTTTGTTCTTTCTGGTCCAGAAATGCCTTCGCTTTCATTTACCAGTTCAAACATGTTTGTAGCAATTGCCAATGTAATAATGGTCAATAATGTAGCGCCAAGCCATGATATAATGACTGTAATAGTTTCAGTATAGCATTCAAATAACTGGTGGTTATATGGTCATGGTGCAGAAAATTAAAGCAATGCACACATTTTGCAATACCAGAACAGAAACAACAATAAAACAAATTTTCTTCCAACAATAGAAGCTAAACATACCAATTAACTTCAAAGATTCACACCATTTACAATCTGCAATGGATGTGACAAATGCTTCTTAAAGTTTACTTACATTTTGTCCAGCTGTTTATTGACTTCCTCATCATTTTCATAGTCTTTACAAAGCTGGGTCACCAGGGCCCCATAGGTCAATGTGAACAGCTCAGAGTTCTAAAGGAAAAAGCACAGTAATGTATTTAGTTTTTGCTGTTTCAATGCTTGGGGGTTGGTAAATTAATGTACACCAACATAGCTGGAAAAAGGTAAAATAAAAAGTTTACACAAAAAAAGATCCAAGATTGTATAAAACTGAAATTATTCATCTGTGACAGGAATTTTGACAGGAACAAACAAATAATCCAAATTTCTAAAATAACAAATCAGAACATTTTTGTGCTTAATAAAAGTATCAAGAAATATATTGTTAAATTTAAAACTATATGGCAAACTCCTATCATGCCACAAGATGAAATTATAAACCATCAACCGTAATAATGTGACTGGCAGCTACATATTGCTTTCATGTAGATTTTTACTTTTTAATAGCTTGATTCAATATTTCTTTTGGCACTGTATATGTTTTTGTTTTTTTTTTAACTATGCCTCAGCATGTAGTTACACAGTAATATAGATACCTGGTAGGCAACAATGGTAAAACACTAAGAAAAGATATATTATAAAGCCTTTACGAGCTGCAATCAAAACAAAATATTTCAGGTTTTTTTTTTTTTATTACCCCAGAATCCAAGAATGCAAAGCCCTTTATCTTTATCTGCTGAAAGATACTAATGTCAGGATGTGGTGCGACTTCAGTTACCAGAACATATTAAGATACTTGCTTTTTAAAAAAATGCAAATTAACATTAAAAATCGAAACATAAACACCCCAAAACTAAGGCAGCCGACTATGTCTGTAAGTAAGCCTCTATATTTTTAGCTTACATGCTATACGAGCTACACTTCCCCCAGAAACCAGCAATAACTGATACATAAACGTAGCAGGTTTTTGTGTTTTTAATACGTTTTGTCACAAGTACATAAACGACAAATCACGACTGTCAAGCATTTTTTTTGACGAAGATATGAAATAGTTTGTTCTAAAGTATGTATTTGTTCAAAGGTTAGCATTTTGCAACTTAGCTAGCTAGCTCCTATGGCGTAAATCCTACCATTTTTTTGCTGTCTGTCGTTCGATTGGATTGCCGAGACATCGTGGAAAGAGTTACAGGATTACACGAGAGGTAATTCGAGATTAATCCTTTATTTATTTGATTCTGGCTAAGCACCTAGTTCCGTAATCACTAGTTCAGTCACACACTTCCTGTTGTGCAAAGTTAGCCAAATAAAAGCATCAGCTTCCGGTTTACTTAACAGCTTAAAAGGGCGAGGATGTAAAATAGAAAGGCAACATAAAGAGTTAAAAAGTTAAAAGATTATTTTGACTAAATAAGAGAGCAACACAGCTTATGTTTCAGAACGCTACACAGGATGTGGTTTTCATAATTTGGGAAAAGACACACGGGGACATTTATTTTGAAGGCAACCCGTCTGTATTTCGTCTTTTTTCCCCCCGATAGTATGTAGAGTTACCGCCCTCTAGTGACCACTAGAAAAGGATTCACATCATATACCGGGCACAACAAAACAACCCAACACAAAATAGCTATTCCTTACTGTTACTTCATCAAAAAACAAAAAGTAATAATTAAAAGTGGTGTGTGTTGTTGTTTGGGGGAAATACAACCTTTTAAGAGCAAATTGCCAGTTACAACATGGCGATCGTGTCAAACTCCAGTCCCAAAGGGCCACTGTCCTGCAACTTTAAGATGTGCCTCTGCTGCACCACACCTGAATTTAATAATTAGGTCAATAGCAAGACTCTGGAGAAATTATCTACAAAAGAAGGAGTAAATTAAGCCATTTAGTTCCAGCATTTTGTGCCTGCTGCACGTCTAAAAACTGCAGCACACCGGCCATTGAGGACTGGAGCAGGACTCCCCCTCCGCGAATATCGGATGGAGTTATTTTTGCCTCAACAGTAGTGCCTTGGTTTCACCACTAGATGGCGGCATAGGCGTGCGTTCCTTCAGGCTCCAGAGACGGGCACTCCGAGGAGCGAGCAGCGGTCTCTCTCTGATAGGTTACAGATGTGCTTCAAAGTGAGCTGCTCGTTTTCAGTCCTGGAAATCACGTGGCTGTTTCTTCCTGTTGCGCTGGGCTCGGGGGGAGAGGCTCTGTCTCATCCTGCGATCGCGCTGAAGCGAACTCACTGCGCTGCACACATTTAGGAGGAAGACCGGGAGGAGGAGGAGGAGGTGGAGGTGGAGGAGGAGGAGGAGGAACTGAGCGCATCGCCCGAAAATCCGACCGCCTGGACCGCTTTTCATTTTCCTCCAGCTTCCCCCCATCTTTCCCCCAAAACCCCCTGACGAGAGCCGGCGCGGACGGGGAAGAAACATCGGGGGGTTCTTGTGTGGAAGGAGGAGTGGACCGAGACTCGGAGCGCAGCGATGACGGGCAAATCTGTGAAAGACGTTGACAGATACCAGGCGGTGCTCAACTCTCTGCTGGCGCTGGAGGAGAACAAATACTGCGCCGACTGCGACTCTAAAGGTGGGTCATCATCACCATCATCATCATTATCGCCTGGATCACATTTCCCCTCGACCTCGTCCCGTGTCTCATCACGCCTGCAGGCGGCCCATGCGCACGAATCTCTCTCCAGTTTATCCTATGTATGTTACACCGCGAGGTAAATGCGGCATTGCATGAATCTGCCCCCCCATCGGCCAAGTACGTTGTGGCGTGGCGCAAGAGATTCAGCCACATCCTCCCAGGTGCAGGATGCAGTTACATCATGTCAGAATACCTCAAGACATTCCCAGTTCGATTAGAGTTTTCATGTACACATAAAAACTAATTATCCGCGAGCCACAGTGACAAACCGGAGCGTCAAATAGAATGAGGGATATTGGGAGAAACTGAGACCTTGTTGGGGAAACACCTGTGCTGACTCTGGATCACCCCTGAACAGATTGTTCCTGCAGGCTGGGAGCACACAGGAAACCCTTTCTGCCATTAAAATGGCACTTTTATTTACTTATTTATTTTACTGCCCTGACAAAGTGAGGCTGCTCCTCTCAGATTACTTGTGCAGCCGTTGCAGTTCCTCTCATGGTGACTGCCTGCTGTGATTTCTGATCACGGCACCCAATTTCCACCGAACTGCTGTATGATTTTTGTAAACACACCGCGACATGCTGCCGGTCGTGTTTGTCTCCTGCAAGGCGTGTGTCCTCCAAGAGGCCTTGGACCGCATGTCAGCAGCTGTTTGCTGAACCTGTTTTGCCACCCTGTTGGGTTAACATGGATGTTGAGGTTGCAAATATGCAACGCCGAGGAACAAATCATCACTAAATTCTCTAACATGTATAGTGTCCTGCCAGGGTCATACCCTAAATATGTACGCTTGTGATCTTAAGGACATAAGACGAACATGGCAATGTTTTGGTCGGCATATTAGCTGATGATGTCGACGGCGTTTACATCGTACCACCTTTTAGCTGACTAAGCGTAAACGCTTATGTGATCAACCACGAGTCAGGATCACGGACTTTCTACATGTCTACATTTCTAGAAAAGTTCAGGAGCCACTACTCTTAACAGGTTAGCTCAATCAGTCTTCTTGTGAACTCTGACCAAGTTCAGATGCCTCTGCTAAAGAAAAGGATCTTCACAGCATGACGCCGCAACCACCATGCTTCATTGCACGAATGGTGTGATGATGTGCCACAGATAGCACTGAGCACAGACCAAAACGTTTGGCCAAATTTGGTGTCCTCTTCCACTGGTTTGCTGTTTGACCCTATATGGCTTATGAAGTTCTTTCCTTAATGGCTCTCTTAAGAGACGGTAGATTTTTAGATTTAACAACAAAGTGAACGGTCCTGAATAATGCACAGCACATTTTTCAATTTTTATTTGTAAAAAGAAATGAAGGATACCAAGAACTTTGTGGTGCTGGTTAAGAGTTGATGAGAAGATGGATGAAGCTAAATAAAGAGCAAATCTGGAAGAAAACCTGTTTGAAACTACACAGTTGCTGGCTTCCAGCCGGACAGCAACCACAATGGATACTCAGTATAGTAGATTTTATATTAGACATAAAAGACAACAACTTTTCTTCCATTTCACAATTGTGCTCTACTTGTAGCTCGCCTGCATCATAAAATCCCCATGAAATCCGTCAAAGTCTGTGTTTGCTACTTACGAAATGTGGAAAGATTTAAGCTGTGTGAACACTTCTGCAAAAGCAACACAAGCCAGACTTGCTGAAGGCTTGAAGGAGCAGTAACATCTGACTGTAATTAAACTTAGCCTGCAGGACAGTTGGGTGTTATTAGAAAAGGTGTGTACTCTGCCACCTCCGTCATCGCGAGCGTCATCAGAGCTCGCTCTTGGCGTTGAGTTGTCTGAGACGGCCTGGCGAGGCTGTGCCTTGTCAGTGAAATGCCTCGGCGGCGGAGAGGTCTGTCATTTAATGGAGACGCCTACATCGCGCACCCACAAGTCGGTAAATTACTGCGGGCTTTTAGACGGAGCCACTGAGTGATTGTTCAGGAAAACGTTCTGAACGACTCCAATCATTGCTCTGTTTTTCTTTCACGGAATATTCCGGGACGCCTAATGTCGCTGGTGTGCTGCAGAACATGCGGGGCAAACGGGACACATTGGGACAAAGCTCATTGTTTGTAGCTGTTAAATGTACGCTCTAAAAATCTGCCAAGGACTTGAAAAAACTTAAATAGAATCATCTGATATGTAAAACTAGAGCAAGCTTGTAATTTAGTTACATCTATTTGTGACGGTCCCAGAGGAGAAATGATCAAAATCAGTGAATCATGTAGTTTCATCCTGTAATCGGCGACTTCCTGTGACCCAGTCCCTCATCCACCCTTAAAAATAGGAAGGATAAGAGTATGTGCTTTTTACGTCATTCCGCTGGTTGTCGGTCTTCATGAATCAGCAGTTGGACGCAGTAAAGAAGTCATGGCGACCCTGTCTCTTAACAAAACCCACAGTAACCAGAGCCGATGCAGATGTCGAGACACTTCAGGCGAAGTCGGTTATATAACCCAAGCTGTGATCAGACTCTTCTGGTTCATCTGAAGAGTTGGCTCCTCCGAGACTCGATCAAAGACAAATAAAGAGGTGCAGGTTTTAAAATAATAATGAGGCTTGCAGTCAGCCCTTCCTGGAAGAGAAAGGCCTTTTAAGGCCATCTCTTGTTCTTATTATTTTTACTTTTTTTGCATGCTTGATTTTACATTCATGAAGCGTGCTTGTGCTCTTGCCCTTTTGATTGGCGTGACTGGTCACAATTTGCAGCAGACTGGCATAATTAGACTGTGGATGAGATTAAGCTGTAAGGGAAGAGCAGCAGCAGGAACACATACGTGGACATACAGAGGATTATTAGGCTCCAATTTAAAACTTAAATGAAAGTTGGTTTTCTCTAGTTTATGAAGGAAGGGCTTGAAAAGGTATTTGTGTCACTTGGAACTTTTTTTGCCTGTCATGCCTTTAGCAGATCTATTTCTCATGGGAAGAAGCTTATGAGAAGCTCCATTTATTGTTTGCCATATGACATTATGGAGACACAGCAATTTTGTAGATAAAGATTTCCTTGTCAGATAAGTTGGAAATTGATTGTTTTTGTAACACACTGACCTGTACTGCAGCGCTCAGTGAAAATGAGACATTAGAGTCTATAAAAGGCTTGAGACTGAGGCACAGGTTCACCTTGCACCTCATGTCGCTGAACAGACAAATGGAGCTAAAATGAAATGATATGAATTCGGGGCGCTCCAATTGCAGTTTTCTGGCTGACCATCGATTTTAAAAAACCCGGCTTGCCGATATCGATGTATTTTTTATTTATTTTTTTGTCTGACAGGTTGCTAATTATAGCAACAAAGTTGCTAAGTTCCCAACTATCGTTAACCGCGCACGTGGCCTGGTAGTGTCCCTGTCGGTCAACCCGCTCTCTCACAGCACAGCAGAAGCGAACAGTGACTGATTTTCGGTCCTCTGCGGCGGTAGATAAGATCGGTGGATAAGGTCAGCTCCTTGTGTGAGTACCAACCGATTTCCTAAATTGAGGAAATCACGGCTGATTTATCGGCGTACCCCTAATACAAATCACATGCATCAGAACAGTCCAGTCAAAGTCCAGGCCTAAATCTGAAAATGAGAATTTGTGGAAAGAATCCAAGACAAGTGTTCACAGCCGCTCTTTATTCAGTCACACTGAGCTGGAGCTGCGTTGTGAAGGAGGACGACCAAAGATGTGAGTCTCTGGAGATTCATCTGCTTTTCAGGGTTTTTATTTGAAAACCACATTTGGTTTTCTTTCCACTTCAGAATGATGCCCCGCTTTGGATTTTAAAATCAAATCCAAATAAAAAACACACTTAAGTTTGTGTTTGTGACAGGACACATTGTGAAAATGCATTTCTCAGTAACAACTTAAAGCTGATTTTCTCCTTTGCACTCATTAGTCTTGCATGCAATTATGGCTGCACACTGATTTAAAAGGTCACACATTAGGCTAATTCCCCACTTTGTAGGATGAAGCTCCTAATGAGTGTGCTGATGATATAATCCTGGTTGCAGTTTGCCTTCTGTCTGCCCGTCCGCACTCTTACCTTCAACCCCCCGCAACTCCCCAAGCACGAGCTGTAAAGTCGCGGTTTTAGCCATATGGCTCACAATGACGTTTGATGTAATCTCGTTTGCATTGACATGGACAGATTTACCTCCCACCCTTGTGGGTGATTGTACAGGAAGTGGTGTGAAAAAGCAAAACAACACTCCTGCCCAGCCGTCTCCCCCCCATGCAGTCTTACTATACAAACACAAGACCTCTGTTTGTTGAGTCGTATAGCTGAGCAAGCCAACTTCCTGCCAGTCCCATGCTCTCTTCTCCCTGACATTATGTAAGTTCATTTTTTATTTATTTTTTTTTCAAAACCACTTCCACACAAAGTGACACAGAGACTGTAAAACCTCCAGCACTGCCAGGAAATAGTGGCAAAGGAAAGCTGCAGGTGTTTAACGTAGTCAATATTTCAATGTTGGGTTTTCTCTCTCTCTCTCTCTCTCTCTCTCTCTCCCTCTCTCTCTCTCTCTGTCTCTCTCCCTCCCTCTCTCTCTCTCTCTTTCTCTGTCTCTCTCTCTGTCTCTTCAACGTGCTCGTGTTTACACGCAGGTGAGGCCCAGGTTGCTGTGGAGATATCACCTGGCTATGTCATGCTCCCCCACCCCCATCACCGCCTCCGCCACAAGCTCTTAGCACCCCCTCCCCCCACCCTTTGCAGCCTTTAATCTCATCCAATCAAAAGCCAGCAGGGATTTCCAGTCAAACAAGAAGGTTACCTATGCCCTCTGGAAGATGCAAAGGTATAGCACCATGGAGAGTCTGCATAGGCACAGTTGCAAAGAACGTTGTGTACAAATTTGTATGCAAAAACTCCAAACCAGACGTAATCCTTGTATTCAGTTTGAAGTTTGTTAATTAGCATTCCTGCCTTTCATGTTCTGCCCCAGGCTCT